ACTGTAATCCAGGTCAATTGACCAGACTGTAATCCAGGTCAATTGACCAGACTGTAAGCCAGTCGCTTCATTCCAGACTGTAATCGACCAATTGGATGACCACAGCGATTGGACGTTCCTCTACAGTGAGAACAAGCGCCAGTTATACCGAAACTCCCTCTGCGATACTCCCCCTCCCGTCGGTAATCATTGAGCTGGACGGCTACAGCGATTGGACGTTCATCTACAGCAAGAACAAGCGGGCTTGGCGAAACTGAGTGCAAAAAGGCAGCGGGCTTGGCGAAACTGAGGTGCCTGAACCCTTCCTTTCCCACCCCTGGTTCTCTGCTTCTCCCCCTGCTGTGCTCCCATCCTCTTTTCACCTTCTGACCACAACTGGCAGTCAGTAATCGACGAGCTGGATGACTACGGCGACTGGACGTTCGTCTACAGCAAGAACAAGGCCAGTTGGGGTCAACGCAGATGCTGGAGTGCGAGAAGGCAGCGGGCTTGGAACAGCCATTCCCCCCCCCCCCCTCCCTTTCCCTGCCTGTTTCCCCCCCCCCCTCTGCACCTTCCTCCATACTGTGATTGACCAATTGGATGACTACGGCGATTGGACGTTGCTCTACAGCAAGAACAAGCGCCATTTGGGGTCCACGCAGATGCTGGAGTACGAGAAGGCAGCGAGCTTGGAGCAGCCACCGCCCTCCCCTTCCCCCCCCCCCACCCCGTCCCTTGCTGCCTGTCCCCCTCCCTCCCCCTTGCACCTTCCTCCAGACTGTAATCGACCAACTAGACGGCTACAGAGATTGGACGTTCCTCTACAGCAAGAACAAGCGCCAGTTGGGGTCGACCCAGATGCTGGAGTACGAGAAGGCAGCGGGCCTGGAGCAGCTGGTTGGGGTGAGCTTCGCGAATCTCCTCATTGCCGCGGAGTGTGATTTCTTCATCGGGCCACTGGGATCGAACTGGAACCGCCTAATCAACAACCTGAGGTCTACAAACGGGCGGGTGCATTCGGGGTATGTTGCTCTAAACACCGGGGAATGGTGAGCACGAGTGATGGAGCCAGATGCAATGGGAGCAGCTGGTTGGGTTGAGCTCCGTAAATTGCTGACATTCTCTTCGCCTTGCAGTGGGATTTCTTTGTCGGCCCGCTCGGGTCGAACTGGACTGGAATCAACTAACCAACAACCCCCGAGGCACCAATGGCCGGGTGAAATCGGGACATGTTGTACTCAACACGGGGGAGAGGTGAACTGAAGAAATTGGTAGCTTTCTCATCGCTATTCGGGTGGAATTTGAAACGCCTGTTTAGCAACCCGAGTAGTAACAATGGCAGGCTATCTTACCCTGGAGTATGTTGAAGCTATGTTACCCAAGTTCCAACTATTCACTGTTTGCTTCGTTATTCCTGCGAGTTCGTACACTACGGAACTCGCACGTCCTAGTTACCTCTGAGGGTGACTTTGTCTGGTCAATCGAAATTGCCTGACGGTATGTTACAGTCTTCGATCCTTCTTGCACCGAGTGTACAACATACTTTTTGCCACTCGCTTCATGGCTGGAACTTGGTTTGCTCATATAAATGGTGATTACGAGTACAGAACTTTGATGGTTGCTCAGAGCCGCGGATGTTTTTGCTGTTCATACGATGCCAACGTTTCTAGGATAGAAGGCCTTCAACGTCCTCATTCCTGGTCTAGATCCGTCCGATGCACGCAATCAATTTCAAAACCCCATCTTCAAGAATCTGCACGAGACAGAAAGCAATCCAATCGGTACAGGGTCAACCCGGGAAATCCAAGGAAACCATTGAGCAAGACACGGGTACAAAAAGAGAGAATGATTGTAGAGAGGCCGTCAGCCAGTTAATCCTTGAGTGTGCACCCATTGGAGGTGCACCCACTCCGACCAGCAGCTAAACCTCGCCAGCTTGTACGGCAGTAATGTGCGCCACGTGGGGATCCCTTAGCACAATATCCTCGATAAAGAGGGCATCGGAGATCGTTCATGGCAACAGTTGGACTAACAACCTCTTCCAGCCATAACCGGCACAGAAGATGCACGCACGTACCAACGGCGGGATCAGGAGCGTGACAAAAAGCCCGCGAGAAACAAAGAAACTGGTCACCATCTTCATTCCAGGGAGTTCTGATGAGATATAAAAACAGGAGGGACACAGGCACAGGAAACCATGTTGGATAGAATCACTGAGTGGATGTCTCGTAAGCAATCGTCCGGCCAGCAGACAGGAGGCTGCGGCAGGATAGCGAGCCACGAGCGGTGTTTGCGCCAAAGAGGGCCTTCGAACTCCCCCCAAGGCCCGCCGCTCTCGCTTCAGGGAACGGGTCGACAGGTGACGGAAAACACTCGCGACCAACTAATAATGAAGCTTGCAATATTAAGGACTATAACTCGAAAAAAACAAACGAAGCACGGAACACAGATCTGAAAAACAACCGCCGGAGTGTATTATACGAGCAGCGATCAGAGAACTTTGAAGACAAAATGCGTTGAAGAATCACAGCCACAGAATGGCTCAACGCGGAATGTAAAGAATCTCCTCATATCGCTGCAAGAGGTCAGACTCCTAGACGCGACTATTTGAAGAGGATAGCTGAACTGAAGAAAAGCTCCAGGCAATAAACTGTACCTCCGAGAATGTGCTGCTGAACGCCATGACTGTCACGTGCTGTTCCCCGCCAGTACGGTATTTCGGGTTCATGAATCTTGCGGGTTCGGACGTCCAGGAGCTCGAACAATTGGCGAATTGCGATGAATCGACGCCAACGTACGTTAACGTCGGAACGGGACACTCAGCGAGGCGATCTGCGAAATAGTAAAGAGTACATGAGAAACGGAGGTAGAAGACTTAGGAGAAACAGTCGTGGGAGACATGTCGACAGTAGCCGATTGCATTTCGCCTCCTCCAAACGAGGGCGGCGAACCCCAATGGAGACGACCCGGCCCAGCCAAAAGAGAATTGGCGGGGCCAGCAAGCCCCGGCCACTGCAATAACATCACTCTTGCAAAGATATGGCCGGACCTCTGATGTAAGCAAAGGACGGATGGAAGAATTGCGTAAAAAGCGTGACTGGGCATAAACGAGATAGCGAACAAAAAAAGACAAGGAACGATGACCAGACAGGTATCTCAGGAGTACAGGTGGCAAACGAGGTCCACTCAGACGAAATTAACGTGAGTTGGAAACGAATAATTTTCTTCAGCGCTGCTTTTAACAGCTCGAAGCGAGCTGGGTATATATCGAGTCATCATTGTGGACCATAAGCTCGTAACAGCAATCGGACGGAGAGAAAGCAAACACCAAGTGCTAGAAGTCACAGTTGACAGAACAGGGAGAGGGTGGACGAAACGACGCAACAAAAAATACAGATACTGAATCACCGAGGAGGCTCAGACCCTTAGATTCCGCCATCAGATTTGCGCTCAGACAATAAGGATTGTGATCTATAAATATCATCACCGCCTCCTCCAGTGAACATCACGAGTTCCTAAGACGAAGGAATGTACTGGGAAATAAATGCGACAAGAGTTCCGACGGATTTACGAAACGTACCCAAGGAGAGCAGACGCGCTGTTGCAAGTCATATTGGACGTCTGTTTTCGGTCACGTGACATTGCAGGCGAACGCAGGCTCGGTCAGGCATAGTTGCTGCATTATCTGATCCAAGAGTCACGGGGAAGAGGGAGCAGCAGGGTGTTAGCGAAAGGGGATACAATGGCGGACCAGCGACAAAGAAGCATCATGTCAGAAGAACCGGAAAAAGTTTAGCGCGTTATGAACTGGTCATGGTTTTCATACGATAGCGCGTGTGGGGAACGATTATTCGCCGGCTGTCAGCAGGATAAACCCTCAAGCCAACGACTCAAATTCGCTCTGCCTCAGTGTCCGCCGTATGGGGGCCCCCATTGCCAATCAAGACAAACCCGAGCGACAGGGGAAAATACGGCTGATTCTCTGCTCGCGACTTCATCGGGAACAGACGTTCATGGTCGGAAATAATTAGACTTGCCCAACGCTCTTGGCTTACAATGACAGATGGCACGCTGCGACCTTCAACGGCTTGACGCCGATGATAATGGCGCCTCAGAGCATGGCCGGCGTAAGACGAGGGCCGAAGCACCGGACACGAGAGTGCCGGACGAGGCTGAAGCCATGGCATGGTGGTCCGGGCGACGCAACTTATGGTGCGTGCGAGGCAGTGGAGAACTGAAAAAGCTTTGAGGTTCTTACATACACTAACCAGCAGGGGCGAAGAGCTGAGACAGAGAGAATGGATGGGATGGAGGTTCTGTGTGGTGGTACTGTAGTTAGAAGAGCTAAGGCGAGGGGAGGGGGTTTCGGGAGGCTGGGAAGGTCATGACTGTTTTTGGGTGTTGCGAAATAACGTCCCAAACCCGTTCGAAGGTTCACATGCACAGCAGCAGCATAGGCCCACTCATCAATACCATGTATTGCAAAACCATAATAACGTTATGAGGACTCGTAATGAGATTTTTCTTTACGAAAGATGGAACAGAAGAACAATTTACAGGCTCTCTCTCGTCCAATATTTTGGTATACTCTTATTTAATGAATTTGAAGTGCTATTTAGAACCTTCTCACCAATACCGAAGAAAGAAAAGAAATTGGAACATAGGCTACAAAACTCATTGCCCTAGGAAAATATCTTCTTTGTGCATATGTTAGCAAGTCTGTAAACCAGTTGAGGGAAAAGGGTTACTGCTGGTAACCCTGAGCAATTTCCTGTCCTGCGTCCAACAAGGCCGTGTTTCTTCCTTACTGAACAAGGGCGTGTCCGAAGCGTACGCCCGACTGTGGTTGAGTGAGGTTCTTTTTGGGTCAGAAGGATCAAATACTAATCTGAAGTGATCGGGTTGGGTAGAGAGCGAAAACGGAGGCTTGGGACACGCCCTAATGTTTTCTCTCCATTCCTAGCCGCTGTTTCTCGACACAACTACTTCACGCTGTTGCTGTGGTTGTGCTAGGAGTGCAGGTCGCATGTCTTGATTTCCGCGACAAGATACCTATCCAGTTTTTCGCGGGCGATTTCTGAGCGAGTTAGAGCTTTCAGGCGGTACTTGTTTTCGGGCCTCACGTGCCTTTTCCCTGGACAGTCCTGCTCAATTTAGGTTTCGAACAGCGTAGCTGGCTAGCCGTGCTTGATTCCCGCCATGGACATTTTATCTCGACAGTACGGCAGCGACGAGGATGGAGGGGAGGATTCTCCGCGAGAGAAATCCGCGTTAACAGCTTCTCCGCCTCGGGAAAAGCATGCCTTTGGTACCCGTGCTGATGCAACCCTAGCCGGCTCTGCTGGGGCTACTTCTGGTAACCCGGCTTCAAGGAATCCTCAGGAAGATGACGATAACGATAGCGATGACGACAATATGGCCTACAGGATCCTCGCTCCCCCAAGCTCCGCCGCTCCTCCAGTCAGCGACGCTTTACTCGCTACAATCCCACGCGATATAATGACAGCGCCGATCGACCCGTCTAAGCGGAATCTTCAGTTCAATCCGACCTACGATCAGCTGTGGACTCCTGTAGTGGGTCCCGCGCATCCTCATAACGCGGATGGCCGCGCGTTAGGGTTACGAAACCACCGGCTGGGATCCGTCCAAGACGCAGCGGTGGACTCTTTTGTCTTCGACGAACAGTACCACACGTTCCAGGCGTACGGCTACAGTGTTGACCCTGCAAGTGTAAACGGGGGCGAGGTCGTGGGTGATAAAAAAGCAGTTGACAATAAGGGGGGTGCTACAGTGTTTAATGTGTCGAAACAGGAGCGGGAAAAGCGGGCTCTGGAGGTGAAAGAGGAGGAGAGGAGGAAGAAGGAGGTCGAGAAGGAGAGGAAGGAGGAGGAGAGGAAGCGAAAGGAAGAGAAGAAGAGGAGGAAGGAGGAGGAGAAAGCGAAGAAGGCTGGGAAGAAGAAGAAGCGGAAGGGGGGAGGTGGTGGGGAGGCGCAGGAGGGAGAGGAAGGGGGAGGTGGAGAGGGGGAGATGAATAAACGAGGACGGAAAGGGAAGGCAGTGGAGCAAGAGGAGGAGGAGTGTGAGGGAGGTGCAAAGAAGAGCAGTGAGGAGGAGAGAGAAGGGGCGGAAGAGGAAGCGGAAGAGGAGGAGAGCGAGGAAGAGGAGGAGGAGGAGGAAGAGGAGGAGGAGAGTGAGGAGAGTGAAGAGGAGGAAGAAGAAGAAGAAGAAGAGGAGGCAGTGGAGGAGGAAATAGCCAACCCTGCGTCGGACTCATGGCTTCGAAAAAGCTCCAAATCACCCTGGGCAGGCAAAAAAGAGGAACCCAAGGCCGAGCTGACCGAGGAACAAAAGAAATACGCGGAGGAGCATGCCCTAAAAAAAGCCAAGAAGGAGAGGGGGGATAAGGAGGAGGTGGAGGAGAAGAGTACGTTCCATGGGAAGCAAGAGAAGGACTATCAGGGCCGGTCTTGGATTGCGCCTCCTAAGGACGTCCTTAATCCCGTGCCGCCGACCCATTGCTACATCCCCAAGCGGTGGATTCACACGTGGAGTGGGCACACTAAGGGCGTCAGCGCCATCCGGTTCTTCCCCAAGTGAGTGCTCTGTGCTTTCGGCGGCTCTGTGTCGGTCCTTAGTCCTGTGTGTGCCCCAGAGTGTATTTGCTGCTCCATGGCCGCCTGTCATTCATTTGACACGCTCGAAAACACTCTCCGTCCCGTCACTTTGCCCCGTTTGCCCTCCTGTTCCCCTCTGCTGCTTTGCCCTCCTGTTCTCTGCTACTTTTCCGAGGTGACTTTTGAGTCGACTCAAAAGTCACCTCTGCTACTTTCCCTTGTGATCCCCTCGTCACATGGCCACCTGCTGCTCTCAGCGTCACATGGCCACCTGCTGCTCTCAGCGTCACATGGCCACCTGCTGCTCTCAGCGTCACATGGCCACCTGCTGCTCTCAGCGTCACATGGCCACCTGCTGCTCTCAGCGTCACATGGCCACCTGCTGCTCTCAGCGTCACATGGCCACCTGCTGCTCTCAGCGTCACATGGCCACCTGCTGCTCTCAGCGTCACATGGCCACCTGCTGCTCTCAGCGTCACATGGCCACCTGCTGCTCTCAGCGTCACATGGCCACCTGCTGCTCTCAGCGTCACATGGCCACCTGCTGCTCTCAGCGTCACATGGCCACCTGCTGCTCTCAGCGTCACATGGCCACCTGCTGCTCTCAGCGTCACATGGCCACCTGCTGCTCTCAGCGTCACATGGCCACCTGCTGCTCTCAGCGTCACATGGCCACCTGCTGCTCTCAGCGTCACATGGCCACCTGCTGCTCTCAGCGTCACTGCACACCAAGATCAAGATCTGGGACGTGCCCAACACCCAGAAATGCATGCGCACCTACATGGGCCACTCCAAGGCCTTACCACTCTCCCCCATCCCCCCTCCCCCATCCCCCCTCCCCCATCCCCTCCCCCCCCCCCCCACCCCCCTCTCCCCCCTCCCCCCTCCCCCCACCCCAATCACCACATGCTCCTGTTTACCTATGTCCAGGTGCGGCCATCTGCTGCTGTCAGCGTCACTGGACACCAAGATCAAGATCTGGGACATGCCAAAAAAGGAAATGCACAAGTGCATGCGCACCTACTTGGGCCACTCCAAGCCCGCCTGTCATTTGACACACTCCAAAACGCCCTCCCTCCCATATTATTGGCCCCTTTGCCCCCCTGTTCGCTGCTACTTTCCCTTGTATTTGCCTCTTCATGTGTGCAGGTACGGCCATCTGCTGCTATCCGCCTCGATGGACACCAAGATTAAGATCTGGGACGTGCCAAATACACAGAAGTGCATGCGCACGTACATGGGCCACTCCAAGGCTGTACGCGATATATGTTTCGCGAACGACGGGCTAAAGTTCGTGTCGTGCGCCTACGACCGAAACATCAAGCTCTGGGACACCGAAACCGGGCAGGTCACGGGGACGTTTTCCACGGGTAAAATACCCTACGTCGTGAAGTTACACCCGGATGACGACAAGCAGAACATTCTGCTGGCGGGGATGAGCGACAAGAAAATCATGCAGTGGGACACGCGGTCAGGGGAAATTACCCAGGAATATGACCAGCATTTGGGGGCGGTCAACACGATCACCTTTTTGGATGACAACCGGCGGTTCGTGACGAGCAGTGATGACAAGTCGCTTCGCGTGTGGGAGTTTGGCATTCCAGTGGTCGTCAAATACATCAGGTACACAAACTCCCTCCCCCCCGCTCCCCCCCTTCCTCCTACTTTTCTCTGGTTAGTTAAGTTGGCCTTCATTTGGTTGTTAAAAAACGCCACGATATTTGCAGCTGTCTTACATCCCTCCTCCTCTCCCCTCCCTACTCCCCCCCCCTTTCCCTCCCTTCCCTCCCTTCCCTCTCGTTCTCTATCCATCTCTTCGCTCATCCTCCTCCCCTTTCTCCCCCCACCCAGCGAGCCGCACATGCACTCTGTGCCGGCAATTGCAGCACATCCCAATTTTTTAGGCACCTCAATTTTTTTTTTAGGCGCCTCAAAAGTCGTTTTTGAGGCGCCTCAAAAAGCAGTCCATCCCAAGAACGCATGGCTGGCAGCCCAGTCCCTGGGACAACCAGATCAGTTGACTGAGAACTCGTGCACTTCCGCCCCTATCCCTCCTCTTGATCACCCCGTCTGTCACCCTCCCCCCACCCAGCGAGCCGCACATGCACTCCATGCCAGCCATTGCCGTCCACCCCAACAAGGCGTGGGTGGCAGCCCAGTCCCTGGACAACCAGATCATCGTGTATGGCGCCAAGGACCGGTTCAGGCTGAACAGGAAGAAGCGATTCGCAGGGCACATCATTGCGGGCTACGCCTGCCAGGTGGGGCTTGCTGGTCTGCATGCTATTTGCATGGGAGGTAAGGGTGGCTGTGTGAGTAGTGGGGGGAACAGACACGCAGCCCAGTCTCTGGACAACCAGGTCATCGTGTAAGGCACCAAGGACTGATTCAGGCTGAACCGGAAGAAGAGATTCGCAGGGCACATCGTTGCGGGATGCGCCTGCCAGGTGGGGAGGCTTGTAGTGTGCACGGTAAGGGGGAACGGGCTTAGGGGCAACAGGCATAGTGGGTGGGGAACAGACGGACCAGCAGCCCAGTCGCTGCTTTTGAGGCACCTCAAAAATAGACTCCTCATCGTGGGAACAGGCATAGTGGGTGGGGAACATACAGACCAACAGCCCAGTCGCTGCTTTTGAGACGCCTCAAAAATAGACTCCTCACGCATGGGAACTGGCACAGTGGGGAACATACAGACCAACAGCCCAGTCGCTGGACAACCAGGTCATCGTGTATGGCGCCAAGGACCGCTTCAGGCTGAACCGCAAGAAGCTGTTCACAGGGCACATCGTCGCGGGATACACCTGCCAGGTGGGTCTTTTCTGCAAAGAAAAGATGTTTTTTAGATAAGAAAACTGCACCTTTTGCACCGTTTTTAGAATTTCTCACATCACAGCTACGCCTGCCAGGTGGCCTTTCCACATGGCTTCCAAGCACAATGCCGTGAGTGAGTCATTCTCAGGTGCCTTGCCTGCCCATGTCATCTCATGTGTGCCCCTCCTCCTCCCACCCACATTACGACGACCCCTCTCCTCGCGCCATTCTCAGGCATCCATCTCTGCTCTCCACACCCCCACCTCCTCCCTCCCTCCCCTCTCCCCCTCTGCCTATCTCCCCCCCTTCTCCCCTTTCCCCCCCCCCCACTAGGTCAACTTCTCCCCGGACGGGCGGTTCATAATGTCGGGGGATGGCGAGGGCAAGCTGTGGTTCTGGGACTGGAAGACCTGCAAGGTGTTCCGCACCGTCAAGTGCCACGACTCTGTGTGCATTGGCTGCGAGTGGCACCCGCTCGAGACAAGCAAGGTGGCCACATGCGGCTGGGACGGCCTTATCAAGTACTGGTGAGTGCTACTGTATTAACTGTATCTCATTACTGTAGCTCACTTCTGTGCGCTACACAAGAGCTTCATGGGTGTTCCGCATGGTCAAATGCCACGACTCGGTGTGCATCGGCTGCGAGTGGCACCCATTGGAAACAAGCAAGGTTGCCGCATGCAGCTGGGGCGGCCTTATCAAGTACTGGTAAGAAGTTATGTCGCTGTACTTTTTTGTGTGTGTGTGTTCTGGACGGTCAAGTGCCACGACTTCGTGTGCATCGGCTGCCAGTGGCACCTGCTTGAGACAAGCAAGGTGGCAACGTGCGGCTGGGACGGCCTTATCAAGTACTGCTGAGTGCCACTGTATCTATTGGAAATAATCACTGTAGATTGTGTGGGCTATGGTAGCTTCATGGCAGTTTCGCACTGTCAAGTGCCACGACTCGGAGTGGCACCTGCTGGAAGCAAGCAAAGTTGCGGCGGGGACGGGCTCATCAAGTACTGGTGAGTGCTTGTCACTGTAGCTCGCTACCGTAGCTGTTTGTGTTTTGCACAGTCAAGTGCCACGACTCGGTGTGCGTCGGGTGCGAGTGGCTCCTGGTGGAAGCTAGCAATGTTGCGGCTGGGACGGGCTCATCTAGTTTTGGTGAGTGCTTGTCACTGTAGCTTAGCTTCTAGACTGCGTTAGGTTAGCGCATTGTGTGTTCTGCTCTCCTTCTCTCAAGTCAAGTCCTTGCTTCGACTGCATTCCCCGGCAGGCACCCCTTCTGCTGGCCTTTTTGTCTTCTGATACCAGATATTGAAAGCTGATGTCTTTGCCACTCCTTTTCTGTGAAACAGGGACTGAAGGGGATGGTTGGTTGGCTACCCATTCTTGGAGCAGCAGGGTTGGGATCTTCTGGAGGCCAACTTCTTTAGGGCGTGTTCCTACAGCCCCGCAATAGGCCCACCTCATGTCAAACTCTCAGCGGTTTCAGTTTTGCAAGCACCGGATTTTGAGTGTGTTTTGGCATGCTTATGGTGTTGTGGTGGTGACATCGATGGACTAGAATTACCTGCAAGCAGCAAACCTTCTAACGTACGCCACTTCATTTACCCACATGCCAAACTACTTCCATTGCACTGGTTAAGCTCCGCGTCCTTCCAAGTCCCCTCTTTTTATAAGTAACCAGGTTCTTTGGAGCAACCATGATGAGTGATATGGTTGTACCTGAGTTTTGTACATCAGTAAGGAGGTTATGCCTATAATGAGTTGTTACAGCATTACCACACCCTCCAGCATGGCATTGTTGCCGCCGCTGCGCGCCTCACTGAAAATGCGTCACCCAGTGCTGACGAATGCTAGACCGCCTTCACCCCAAGGAGGCCACCCGGGGAATTGGACGCAACCAGCGAGTACCACGTGGAAATACATCGAATGAAATGCCTCCAGCTTAGCTACATGACGCAAGGTCTGGTCAGCCCTGCACAGGGACTACGTTTGATGGGTAATTGCCCGATTTTCATACTTTAGCGGGTGGTTTTGACCCGGAAGTCCCTTTTTAACGGGTCTGGTTATCTCTGAACCTTAATGGTTAACGTGTCTATGTACTAGGAAACGTGCTATGAATGTAGGTTTTGGCGGATTTGGCAGGAAAACGGACGCTGACAAGCACGATTTCGGGGAAAACGGATCTGACGACTGACTAAAACTTCAACGTGAAGCCCCGCACCGCCGCGTGTGGTGAGGGGCGGATTGGTCCATGCACTTTTCTCCAGATGCGCTGGCTTTTTTCCGCGAGCGCCCGCCTATCCCTCCTTAGCATGAACACTTCTGCGGATGTCCCCCTTCCTGGACGTGCGCTGAGCTTCCCGCCTATCCCCCTTCCCCCCGTTTCACTCCGCCTTGGGCGACCCGACTGGGTAATCCCTACGATATTTCGTGGCGCGTCGTGGCGCGTCGTGGCGCGAATCCCCTGGGAATTTCTTCCTTGGGATCTCCTGCCATTGGGGGGTGTCTGGTCCTATTTATTCCCCTGTTTCTCTCATTTGATCATTGACTTAGTTACCATCTTTAGCAAGTGATCAGTCTCTGCTTTCAGCCATCTGAATCTGTCTCCCTGTTTCCCGCGTCTCCTGCTTCAGACTCTTCTATTGTCTTTTTTATTAAGCTTGATCATCATTTTTTTCCGCAATGGCGGCCACCATTGACGAGCTGAAGAACCTTCCGATCACAAGTGGCGAGATCATCGCGGAATATGTCTGGTGAGCGTCGAACGTTTCGGTTGCCAGTCGTCGGCCTTCGGCCCCTCATCCTGTCGCTATTTTTTTAGCTCCAGTGTTCTTTTCGCGTCACGCGCCTTCATCGTCGTCGTCGTCCTCGTCACAAAACGGTTTCGTTTCCTCCCGTCCTCCCTCTCGCCGTGGTCGTCGCTTCCTGCAGGATCGGAGGAAGTGGAATCGACGTCAGGGCCAAGGCCAGGGTTAGTAGCCAACCGAGTAGACCTGACGTCAAGGGAATTCGCCTCTTCTGAGATTCGTCTGTTATCCCTTTCATTCCGTCTCACGAAATGCTGGACACTTGAGCCATCGGTTCGTCCATGCCTGGAAGTGATTAGTCTAAACGTTCGCTTCAAACTGCAAAGACTCATTGCCTTTCGTCAGTGAATCTGTCGTCGTGAATCTTCGTTCATTCTCTCTTTTAAAATCTCTTCCGCTGCGTCTCTCGGCTGTGCAGACTGTGAAGGGCCCTATCGGACCCGGTGACGTGGCGAAGCTGCCCAAGTGGAACTTCGACGGATCTAGCACGGGCCAGGCTCCCGGCACGGACAGCGAAGTCATTCTCTAGTGAGTCGTCCAACTCTGACTCATACCTTCCCCACCGTATTGTCCTGTGAGTCGTCCAAGTCTTATACATTCTCCGACGAATCCAGCACGGGTCAGGCTCCCGGCACAGACAGCCTCCCTTCTGCCATCGCTTGCGGGCCTTTTTGGCTCCCGGCACGGACAGCGAAGTCATCCTCGAGTCGTCCAAATGCCTTCGAGGTCATCCTCGAGCGAACTCCCACACATTCTTCGAGGTCATCCTCTAGAAGAGAGTATCGCTTACCTGTGCCGAATCAAATGTCATTCTCGAGTGCGGCATCTGGCTCAGCTTGTGGATTTCCAGTTGTAGTAGCACGGCGTTGGCGACATCTCCCTCATGAGCATTGCGTGATTGGCGACTTTATTAGACAAATCCGCGTCTTGTGTTCATATGTGTCGTCTGTTGTTTCGCGTCGTACGTGGCAGCCCCCAGGCCGTGTTCACGGACCCCTCCCGCGGCGGCGACAACATCCTCGCGATGTGCGACTGCTACACGCCGCAAGGAGCCCCCAAGCCGTGTGTGCTGGTCATGTGCGACTGCTACTGACATACCCTTTCCACGTGCCCTTTCTTCCTTTCTCCGTGCGTTGTTCCGCTGCCCCTCCCTGCCTTCAGCCCGCAGGCTGTGTTCAAGGACCCCTTCCGCGGCGGCGACAACATCCTGGTCATGTGCGACTGCTACACGCCGCAAGGAGCCCCCATCCCCAGCAACAAGCGCGCCTTCGCCGCCGAAGTCCTCGAGAAGGTCAAGGACCACGAGCCCTGGTTCGGCCTCGAGCAAGAGTACACCCTCTTGAAAAAAGACGTCAAGTGGCCTCTCGGCTGGCCCACCGGCGGGTACCCGGCCCCCCAGGGCCCGTACTACTGCGGCACGGGCGCGGATAAGGCCTGGGGGCGCGACATTGTTGACGCGCATTACAAGGCGTGCTTGTATGCGGGGATCAAGATCAGCGGGATCAACGCGGAGGTGATGCCCGGACAGTGGGAGTTCCAAGTGGGCCCGTGCACGGGCATCGAGGCGGGCGACCACCTGTGGATGGCGCGGTATCTTCTGGAGCGGGTGACGGAGATGGCGGACGTGGTGCTGTCGCTTGATCCCAAGCCGATTGAGGGCGACTGGAACGGCGCCGGCTGCCACACCAACTACAGGTGCGTGCTGCTGCTGGACGGTATTGTTGATACTGAGTGTTTGCGTGCCGGTCTCCTTTTTTCCTCATCTGATCGGCTGGCCCCTGGATGCCGAGGTTGTTTCTCACGTGCTGACGTTTCTACCCCGCTTTTTTCTCCTCCCCGCTGCTCTTTTTTCCTCCCCGCAGCACCAAGGCCATGCGCGAGGAGGGCGGGTACGATCTGATCGTGAAGGCCATTGAGAAGCTGGGGCTGAAGCACAAGGAGCACATTGCGGCGTACGGCGAGGGCAACGAGCGGCGCCTGACGGGCAAGCACGAGACGGCTGACATGAACACCTTCTCCTGGGTACGCTCTCTTACCCTTTTTTCTCCTGGGTTCACTTTCATCACCTTGTCCTGGTGGTTCTCTCGTTCGAAGTCGCCGCCTCACCGGCAAACACGAGACAGCTGACATGAACACCTTCTCCTGGTCACGCCCACGTTGCCCTCAGTGGCTTTGAACACTCTTCTCCTGGGCACACTGCCTTCCATCCCTTATCGTTTATTAGTCGACTCTTACGACGCTGCCTCACGCCCTCCCCCCAACCTCCCTTCTCTTCACCAGGGTGTTGCTAACCGTGGCTGCTCAGTCCGCGTGGGTCGTGACACAGAGGCCCAGAAGAAGGGTGAGTGGCATGCTCACCTTTGCACATTTCAGTCTCCTGCAGTTTCGTCGCATCCTTTTTTTTTATACACAAAGCCTGAAGCCCACTGAAATGGGGGCGTGGAACAGAAACAAAAAAAACGTAGTTGCTGCACCGAATCTGTGTTTCCGAGCAGGAACTACGTATTTTTGTTTCAATTTCATCGTTTCTGCTCAGAATCTCCTGCGTGACCTACTCTGATTCTCACACTCTCAACGTCCTATTGATTCGCGTTCATCTTTCTCTTCTCTCCTGGCAGGTTACTTCGAGGACAGGCGGCCATCGTCCAACATGGACCCATACATTGTCACGGGCAAGATCGCAGAGACCACCATTCTGTGGGAGCCCACTGGTACGCATGCATGCACGCTTGCATCTCCAAGTGCGAATGTCCATGTGGGAGGGCATTCATTCTTCCATGCGCATACATGCACAGTTCCGTCCATTTTTCTATGTACACTTTCTCTGTGCATCTCTTGGAGGTACATGCTCATTGTCTACAGAGCTTCACATGTATTGTGCCCGTTTGCTTTTTCTTTGTACCTCCCGGTGACCTTGCAGCGTAAACGTCTTGACAACAGATCAGAGCACATCACTGCAATACATATTTGACACATTCCACGAAACGGGCCTGTTTAGGAAAGGCTATGTGATCGTTTTTTTCTACCCTCATCTTGCTATGTTAGCATCATGTATTATTGTAAATCAATAAAGCCAATTCAATGCCTGAATTAGAAGCTGAGAGGAATTCACCTTACAGGCTGGTGATTGAGCTCCTAACTGCTGGGGTGAGAATCACTTGTTCAATACAGCTTCGGGTTTAGGGTGGGGTTTAGAGCGACATGTGGTTAGGATGATTATTCTGCATCTCCTTCAATGTGCATGCTGCTGCTGCATATAATAATGGGATGCATTGTATCGAAGCTTCTGAACCTTAACACTCACATACAAGCACACGCCATATCACTGGCCATACACCAGGGAGAAGTACCAACAGCCAAAATAAAAGAACGTGTGCGTGATGCCAGAGGGCCAATGAAACTAGAATACAATTGGCAACATACTCCATACTAACATACTCTATACTAACGTACTCCATACTAACATACTCCATACTGACATACTCCATGTCACTGTGTCTGCCCGCGCAGCAGGGAGGAGAACCAAGACCCAACAGAAAAGAACGTGCCAGTGAGCCAGTTCACATCAAAGAACCTTGAGACGTTGGACGCCAGAGGGCCCAGGAAACCCAACATCCCCCCTAGACCTTCACCAGTCCCACTGCCGCCACTGCTAGCACTGCCACCAGTGCTAGCAGCTGTTGCTGGCGCGGGCAACTGGGAGGGCAGTTGGGAGGGCAGGTTGCGTGTCGTGGCAGTTGCAGGGAGAGCCTCTGGTAGATCCCTCTCTGGAGCCATGGGAACCCTAGCTGCGGCTGGTAGGTCCCTGGCTGGGGCTGCTGGAACCCTTCCTGCTGCTGCTGCTGCTGCTGCGGCTGCTGCTGGAACCCTTCCTGGCACGTCCCTTGCTGGAATTGAGACAGGCACGGAGGCAAGCAGAGAGGAAGGCAGGGAGGAAGGACGGCCCACCACAGCTGTGCCACTGGTAGTAGGGCGATCTAACCCAGCCCCCCTCGCCCCTGCAGTCCCAGCAGTAGATGCACCCCCTGTTACAGCCACTCCCCTTAGAGGCACAGCGCTTACTTGACTGCCTGACGGTTGGCTTGATGGAGTGAGCACAGGAGTGATGGGAGTAACCCGAGTCCCTGCTGTAACAGGGGTTGCAGGGATGACCCGAGTCCCAGCTGTTACAGGAGTTACAGGAGTTACAGGAGTAGCCAGTGTCCCTGCTGTTGCCGGAGAAACAGTAGTAACCCGAGTCCCAGCTGTTACAGGAGCTGAATACGTAACCAGAGCAGTAACAGGAGTTACAGGAGCGGCCCGCGCCCCTGCTGCAACAGGAATTGCAGGGGTCACCCGAGATCCAGTTGTTACAGGAGTTGCAGGAGCAACCACGGAGCCTGCTGTAGCGGCAGTTGCAGGAGCAACCAGGGTGCCTGCTGTAACGGAAGATGCAGGAGTAACCAGCGGGCTTGCTGTTACAGGAGTTGCAGGAACAACCAGAGCGCCGGCAGGAACAGGAGTGGCTGGAGTGACCAGGGTCGCTGCGGTTACAGGCGTCACAGGAGTAACTGGAGTCCCTGCAGTAGCAGAAGTTACAGGTGTAACCCGAGTCCCTGCTGTGGCAGGGCTTCCTGCTGCAACACTGCTCGCTGCGGTAATAGAAACTGTAGATGTTACAGCCGGTCTAGGTGTTACAGAGGCAGGTGTTACCATAGGCATCGACGGGGATCTAGCCTGTGATGGCACCTGCACTGGTTGCAGGCGAGGCTGTACTGGGGCAGGCCGGGACTGAGCAGGCTGCGACTGAGCGGGCTGCGACTGAGTGGGCTGGGATGTAGCAGGCTGCGGTGTAGTACGCTGGGACTGGGCAGGACGAATGGGAGTCTGCTGATTCGGCAGTGAAGGAACAACGGATCGGACGGATGGTGTGGAGGCGCGTGATGCTGTGGACGCACGCGATGCTGCAGAGGCACGAGACGCCGCAGAAGCACGAGAGGCTGCTGATGCAGATGAGGATGAGGGGGTGGAGGTTGGGGCTGATGTGGAGGCAGCAGCTGTGGGGGAGGCGCGAGAGGTTGCGGAAGCACGAGAGGCTCCTGATGCAGATGAGGATGAGGGAGTGGAGGTTGGGGTTGGAGGCACACCTGATACAGCAGCTGCTGCTGCTGCTGGTGCTGCGAGGATTCCTGTAAGACAAAGGGGATTGGGAAGGTGTTGCGAGCGAGCGAGTGTGGGGACATTGGTGCGGATAGGTATAAAATCAAACAGGGGAAGAGGTGTGAAGGAAGGGGCAAACGGGTGGGCTACCGGGCGGAAAGGGGTGATCCAGTGTAGAGACAAGCAAGCAGAGGGGTATGAGCTCTAGCTCTTTTTTTTTTTTGGGTGTTTTTTTTTTTTTTTTTTTTTCATGGGACGATGCACCTGTGAAGCAGACAGCGGAGATGCAGCTCAGCAGCACCGTGTTTTAAAAAAAAGTGTGCTAGCAATCGCGTTTAAAGGGGGCTCAAAAGTGTGCTAATAATCTCGTTTAAGGAAGTCTCAAAACACGTGTGCTATTATTCGCGTTTTACGAGGCCTCACAGCACGGACAACGCACCTGTGAGGCACACAGCGGAGATGCAGCACAGCAGCACCGCCACTAGCGGGCGTGCCATGTTGACTCGGATCCGCCCGTGCGCCATCAGCAATGCTCACTCAGCGCGCAAACCCAGAGAGCTGGCGTGAGTTAGGTCGCCTTAGCGAGCTCCTCTCGGACTAAGAAAAAAGGAGCGTCTCCTGACGGACAAGAACCGACCTCCGTCAAGGCAATCCGAAGCCTCGTCAGCTGAAGTTAGAAGCAAACTCGACACTTCTAGAGGCGGGGCGGCTCTTGGCAATAAAGCCAAGCGATATAAGTAACACTCGAGGGAGCTCCGCTGTGATCTGATATGATACCCAGCGCTCTACCCGACCCCTGTATAAGTAGGGGAAATAGTGCACGCGGAGTCCCAAGGGCGAAGCAGCACCCGAGGATTCAGGGCGGAGCAGCGCCCGAGGAGCCCCAAAGGCGGAGCACCCCGATCGCGAAGCCCCGACGCGCGAGACTATTCCCTCTAGTAGTACTCGTCGGTACGAGCCTCTTAGTGTCATGGACACTATGCGTGGACTTCCAGCTTTCAGCTCGAGCCCGTACAATGGTAGGGTGTAGTTGAGAGTTCCCAAGAACACCCTCCCGGTCGGTATGATCGTCACGAACACTCTGCGTGGAATTCCAGCTTTCAGCTCGAGCCCGTACATTCGCGAAGGCGCACGGTTGGAAAAACCGCGAATTGAGACAACCTGGCAAGCTCGGCGTTTCAAGCGGGAACTTACTCAAGAGGATCGGTACGTCGAGGCTTCTGCCAGAATAGATAACGGGTCTCAACCTCCGCCTTGGCTTCTGACTGAAGGTCGGCTTCGGCCTTGTGAGATTTGTTTTTTCCTGAATTTCTCCTAAGTCGCTGCCTCGACCATGGTATTTCCAGGCAGGCGACGATCGCCATGACTTTTACACCTGGTCATTCCGATTGACTGATCTCTAAGCAATCATTGCAGAGAACCATGATGGTTCTCTGCTAACGGGTGGAATCGTGCAGCTGATGGAGTATTCTGAGCGGATTTCTAGCAAGTTAGATCTGTATTTAGGAAACTGGTGGCATGAAAACTAATATCCAGGTCATGTTTCCAGGCAGGCAGGGGTGTCAGCAGCGTGGCGGAGAAGCAAGAGAGCTCAATTACAGATTGTAAATTGTGACGTAAGCTGGAAAGTCCCCATGGGAGTGGATGGACTCGAGAATCCCGGCGGAAAAGAAAAGAAAGAATGAGTCCTAGAAATGAAGAAGCGGCGGCGTTGCGTGGCCTGGATTGTATCGAACCGAAGTTGGGAAAAGAACCTGTCAAGCAAGAGAACTCCAGAAGCAGAGCAGAACCATCAAAAGCTCCCAAGCATGCGCTTTGCTCAATACCCTACCTAACCACTTTAGATTAATATTAAGCCCTTCTGACCCAGAGAGCACCTCACCAAACTGCATTCTGACGCACGCTTGGGCCATGCCGTCATCAGGGCGTGTGTGTGTGTGAGTTGAGAGGACATGAACGGGTAGGCCCCTGGAGCTTTCTAGGCACCCTGAAATTTGACGCGGGAATACATACGAAAATTTTACGCGGCCCGATTTCAGCAGCCTAGGGAATCTCTACAGCACACGAATGGATGAGCGAAAACGGTGGAATGCGATGGGATGCGCAAGGTTTGTGTGACTGAAGGCAATCGCGCCACCACCCTTGCCGAATAAATCCGCTGTGAAGTATACTCTCTGTCAGGTATATCGTATTTATCAGATGTCTTGTTCACAAATATGTACACTCGAAGAATTGCTACACTTGTTCCGCATCTGGCCAGTTATCGGGATTGGCTCCTCCCAGAAAGCTCCCTCTCCCGTTCCATTTGCCACCACCTTGTTCCTGAACGAATCGAGGCGACGCTGGCGAAACAAATCAATTAGCCGTTATGGTTACAGGTCTTCGTTTTAGTTCGTGCGGCATGCTGTCAGGCCATACAGGCCCTTGAGATCGCCGCACGCGAAACGGTTTTCGCTAGAACCGAACCACCTGCACTGTTCTGAAGATTTCCTGCTTCTCGCTTGCTCTGGATCGCAGGTTGCTCTGCTTCTGGCGAGGTGGGTGAGGCAAGACAGGGAGGGAGGGAGGAGAAATCAGATGAGCTAGGCTAACAGGAAAATCACCATCCCATTACAGTACCAGAGGGAGAGCTCGGAGGAACAGTATTCCATCGGGAATCAGGAAATCCTTAGGAGACTCCTCCCTGGTTTCCGAGATTATCCTGCGTTATAGACCTATTTTAGTGTCAGATCCCACCGCTCATCCTCCTGAAGCCTGGCCATGGCTCAGGAGCAACCTGTTACCTAATCTGTCAGCAGTGAGCGAGATCGTACCAACCCTTGTCAATTTCTGCTGATTGGTTCCTTCACACTGACATCGGGGGTGTTGTGACGGAACATTGACAGCAACCCAAATCTGGACTTTCTTTTAGTTCAGGCAGCTATTGGAAGACCAAGGCTGCAGATTTAGCTCCTTAGGGTGCCTGGTCAGTTAGATCTAGTCGATACTTCAGTTGCGTTTCTCAGGCTTGTGTCTTAGAGTTCCTGGCAACTTAGTTCCAGACCATTCGTCGGTGCATCGTTACAAGTTGACCTGCTGCGAAATTCGTCGATTTCTGTGAGTCGTACCAGTCGATCGTTACGCATCGTCAGCATCGCATAACCTGGCCTGAAATCTTGTCGTAACATTGATGTTCATTCGCGTTGGCCTCGTCTTCTGTTTCGCGTAATTTTCCGTTACGTGTTTAGGTTTCACAGTAGCAGGCGCCATGTCGGGCGCGGCGTCAGCCGTCTACATCCTGGACATGAAGGGGAGGGTTCTAATATGGAGGGATTACCGTGGAGACGTCCCCGCATCCGCTGCTGAGAAATTTTTCAACAAGCTGATGGAAGGCGAGGTACGCGACCAGGATTTGAGTCACACCAGGAAGAACGCGATCAGGATTCGAATCAGACCATTTCAAGGTCCTGGTTTCGATCATTACAGCGGACGAATGTACGAAGATCATGAGAAGTCTCGATCTATACTTACAGCACCATGCAACCTCTCAACTTCCGGTTTCGATTAACAAATATTCCAGGGTGCATCGTGCGTTCGCATTCCGCGTTTGATTTTGACGACATTTGCAGATTGTGGGTAATCTCTCTAGATTTTACCAGGAATGTTAGACTCCGTATCTGAACCTGACGCCTTGGGCATTTCTATGCATCGTCTCACCAGTTGACACCCGCTCAGCGTAATCCCAGTCTCGATTCAATTCCCCGTAAGCCATTGCTCCAATTCCTCACACACCAAGTTCGAATCGACACGATCGTCCTCTCTTAACCACCTCCTCCCGTCAGGCTGACCCCTCCTCTCGGGAGCCGGTGATCCTGGACAACGGAGTGACGTACCTCTTCATCCAGCACAACAACGTGTACCTCATGATCGCCACCCGGCAGAACGCCAACGCCGCCAGTCTACTGCTCTTCCTCCACAAAGCCGTGGAGGTCAGTGGGTCCAGGGAGGGGGATGATTGGGTCGATTGTGCGTGGTTATTGTGTCGCATGTATCTAATGATTGGGTCGCGTGTGCCTGGTGATTGGGTCGCATGCATCTGATGATTGCGTCGCCTGCGTCTGCTGAGAGTCACATGGATCCGATGACTGGACCGCCTGTGCCTGATGAGAGTCGCATTCATCTGATGATTGGGTCGCATGTATGCAATTATTGGATCGCCTGCGCCTGATGAGAATCGCCACAACAATTGAACCAATGGATATGGATATTTTAAGCGTGTCTGACGAGAGTCGCGCGCATCAGATGATTGAGTCGCATTCATCTGATGTCTCAGTCGCATGCAACCAATACGTCGGAGTGTAGTATCGGCTTCAGCAATATGGGAAACTGACGTTGTTATATGGGTTCGAGTCATAAATGCCGGTGTGAGATCCTTTTTCACTAGGAACACAGTGCAAAGAGTTCTGATCTTCGTCTGTGACTGGTAGTCATACTGATGATGCGTTCTGACCTTTTTGTGCAATTCCCTTTGGCCACAGGTCTTTAAGTACTACTTCGACGAGCTGGAAGAGGAGTCTCTAAGAGACAACTTCGTCATTGTGGTACGCAATCGCAGTGTGCTGAAACGTCTTTTTCGTTTCCCCCTCCCCCCCCCCCCTTCCTTTCCTGTTCCCCGTCCCTCCTTTTTCGCTCTAAGTGTCCTCATGTCCCGATCTCCCCATTCCTGCTTGTTTGCAATACCATCTTTCTCCCACACCGATCTCTGCCGTCCCTCTCTGCCGTCCCTCTGTCGTCCCTCTGCCGTCCCTCTTCCTCTCTTTCCCTCCTTCCCCCTCCTCCCGCCTTGCCTTCCCTGTGCCACCGCCCCGCAGTACGAGCTACTGGACGAGATAATGGACTTCGGGTACCCTCAGTTCACAGAGGCGAAGATTGCTCTCTCTCCCTCCCCTCTCCCCTCCTTCCTCCTTCCGCCTCCCCTGTGCGATCACGTGGCAGTACGAGCTACTGGACGAGATTATGGACTTCGGGTACCCTCAGTTCACAGAGGCGAAGATTCTGAGCGAGTTCATCAAGACGGACTCGTACCGCCTGGAGCTGTCGACGCCCAAGCCCAACATCGCCGCCGTCACCAACGCCGTCTCGTGGCGTAGCGAGGGCATCCGCTACAAGAAGAACGAGGTGAGGGCATGGGTCTCTTGGTACCCTGTGCACGGATTCTGGGTTCCTTGGGCGTGGGTTTCGGGGTACGCTGTGCATGGGTGGGTTTTGGGTACCCTCAGTTCATGGAGGCGAAGATTCTGAGCGAGTTCCTCAAGACGGACTCGTATCGCCTGGACCTGTCGACGCCCAAGCCTAACATCGCCGCCGTCACCAACGCCGTCTCGTGGCGTAGCGAGGGCATCCGCTACAAGAAGAACGAGGTGAGTGCGGGTGCACATGGTGTTGCAGGTTGGTAAATTATGTTCAATAACACTAGGTGGCGTAGCGAGGGTATCCGGTATATGTAGAGCAAGGTAAGGGCGGGTGAAGGTGAAAACGTGGGAAGTATTCTATGGAGATTGATCGATTTGCTGGAGTCCGTCATCTCCCCTCGACACAGTCTTCCCGCATCCATTGTTATGTCTTCCCTCGACGCATTCCCATTCCCCTAGGTGCTCCTGGACGTGCTTGAGAGTGGGAACATTCTGGTGAACAGCTGAACTGTCGCAGAACCCAGTGGCTTCTTTTCCACTCTTTGGCTTTCTTTCCCTGCAGGTCTTCCTGGACGTTGTGGAGAGTGTGAACATCCTGGTGAACAGTAATGGTCAAGTGGTGCGGTCTGAAGTCGTGGGCGCTCTCAAGATGCGGACATACCTCAGGTGAAGAATATAAGGGGAAGGTTAGGGGGAGGACGGGAGGATGGGAGTGGGTTCGGTTGCTGTGGGTGGGTATGGAGATAAGGTTGGGAGGGGGAGGGGGGGGGGGGGGTCATGTGCTAAGACTTTTCTCCTCACAAGTTCACTGGAAATACTTTGCCGTTTTATTTTGTTCTCACTTTCTGTATCCGCGATTTCTGTTGCTCAGCCTCTGCTTTCCCGCTGTGGCATGCCTTGCAGAATGACCGAGTATTCTGGGTGCCTCAATCACTTTGCTTGCTTCCGCTGCGTCCCTTGACCCGGTTCCCATACTCTGCGTCGCCCCCCCAGTGGCATGCCAGAGTGCAAGCTAGGGCTGAACGATCGGGTGCTTCTTGAGGCTCAGGGCAGAGCGACCAAGGGCAAGGCGATTGATCTGGACGACATTAAGTTCCACCAGTGAGTTGTGCTGCACACACGCAGCAGAGATGTTAGCGTTTTCAGCCAAATCAGGTTTCACACACAGCTCAGGGCAAAGCGACAAAGGGCAAGGCCATCGATTTAGACGACATCAAGGAGCAAGGTCCGGTGAGGTCCGGTGAGGTCCAGTGCGGTCCAGTGAGGTCCAGTGAGTGATGGTAGAACGTGTATCAAGGGGCGTTCTATTGTTCGCTCTAGGCATGCGCAAGGCACCGGGCAGAGCGACCAAGAGCAAGGCGACTGATCTGGATGACATCAATTTCCACCAGTGAGTGATCTTCTTAGCCTTATGTATTCCCCTTGTGATCATATGAGCGCTGTCTGGGGCCCTGAATGCTTTTACGAGCCTATGAATCCCCCTTGAAGACTGAATGCCTGCTTGAGCCTAAATGCGCATCTGTGGCCTGTGAATCCGATCATAGCATGTCCAAGTCAAACCTGTCAGCCACTGCCCGTGTCTTCATGCCAAGCTTATGCCTACCCTTGTGTTCCCACCTTCCCCTGTCCTCCACAGGTGTGTGCGTCTGGCGCGGTTTGAGAACGACCGAACCATCTCCTTCATTCCTCCCGATGGGGCGTTTGACCTGATGACCTACCGACTCAGCACTCAGGTGAGTTGGGCTTGCGTGTTCGCCCCCTCCCCCTCTCCGCCTCTCTAACGCTGCGTGTCTCTCCATCTCCCTTTTTGAGGTGCCTAAAAAAAAGGCTCCTCTCCGTCTCTCTAACGCCGCGTGTCTCTCCATCCCCCTCGTTCTTCTCAACGATTACTTCGACCCCTCGTTGCTTCCGTCGTTGCTCCCTTTATTGCTCCCTTTGTTGCTCCCCGCATGACCAAAACCAGGTGAAGCCCCTAATCTGGGTAGAGGCGATGGTGGAGCGGCACTCGCGCAGCCGGGTGGAATACATTGTGAAGGCGCGGAGCCGGTTCAAGGAGCGGTCCACAGCCATACTCTATCTGATTGTACACAATACCATATGCACCCACACCAGGTGAAGCCCCTCATTTGGTTGAGGCGATGGTGGAACGGCACTTGTGCAGCCGGGTCAAATACATGGTGAAGGTGGGGAGCCAGTTCAAGGAGCGGTCCACAGCCGCGTTGGTGGAGATCGAGCTGCCGGTGCTCATGTCCAACGCTCATGTCCAACGCTCATGTCCAACGCTCATGTCCCACGCTCATGTCCCACGCTCATGTCCAACGCTCATGTCCAACGCTCATGTCCAACGCTCATGTCCAACGCTCATGTCCAACGCTCATGTCCAACGCTCATGTCCAACGCTCATGTCCCACGCTCATGTCCAACGCTCATGTCCAACGCTCATGTCCAACGCTCATGTCCAACGCTCATGTCCAACGCTCATGTCCAACGCTCATGTCCAACGCTCATGTCCAACGCTCATGTCCCACGCTCATGTCCAACGCTCATGTCCCACGTTCATGTCCAACGCTCATGTCCAACGCTCATGTCCAACGCTCATGTCCAACGCTCATGTCCCACGCTCATGTCCCACGCTCATGTCCAACGCTCATGTCCCACGCTCATGTCCAACGCTCATGTCCAACGCTCATGTCCCACGCTCATGTCCCAGGCTCATGTCCCACGCTCATGTCCCACGCTCATGTCCCACGCTCATGTCCAACGCTCATGTCCAACGCTCATGTCCAACGCTCATGTCCAACGCTCATGTCCCACGCTCATGTCCCACGCTCATGTCCAACGCTCATGTCCCACGCTCATGTCCACGCTCATGTCCAACGCTCATGTCCAACGCTCATGTCCCACGCTCATGTCCCACGCTCATGTCCCACGCTCATGTCCAACGCTCATGTCCAACGCTCATGTCCAACGCTCATGTCCCACGCTCATGTCCCACACTCATGTCCAACGCTCACGTCCAACGCTCATGTCCAACGCTCATGTCCAACGCTCATGTCCCACGCTCATGTCCCACGCTCATGTCCAACGCTCATGTCCAACGCTCATGTCCAACGCTCATGTCCAACGCTCATGTCCAACGCTCATGTCCCACGCTCATGTCCCACGCTCATGTCCCACGCTCATGTCCCACGCTCATGTCCCCTGGACGCCCCCTCTTGCACCAGGTGAAACCCCTCATTTGGGTGGAGGCGATGGTGGAGGGCCACTCGCGCAGCCGGGTGGAATACATTGTGAAGGCGTGGAGCTAGTTCAATGAGCGGTCCACAGCCACTTCAGTGGAGATTGAGCTGCTGGTGCCCATGGACGCCATCGACCCCGCTGCCCGCACCTCATGCCTTATCTGTATCCACATTCTACCGTACACACCCGCACCAGGTGAAGCCTCTAATCTGGGTTGAAGCAATGGTGGAGCGGCACTCGCGCAGCCGAGTGGAGTACATGGTGAAGGCGCGGAGCCAGTTCAAGGAGCGGTCCACAGCCACGTCGGTGGAGATCGAGCTGCCAGTGCCCATGGACGCCATCGACCCCGCTGCCCGCACCTCCATGGGCACCGCCACGTACACGCCTGAGCGCGAGGCCATCCTGTGGAAGATCAAATCTTTTCCGGGAGGCAAGGTACGTGGTACTTGGTTCTCTTCCCCCTCGCTCTCCCCTCGCTCCTCTCTAAGGCACGTAGGGCACACCCTCTCAGGTACACGCTCCGGCATGAGCACACGTACTTGCACACGGGCGTGGGCAGCAGCAGCACACAGCACCAGTCCGAGCTGGTAAGACCAGTAGAGCGGTTCACGAGCAGTAAAGCAGTCCAATAGCAGTAATGCAGCAGCCACAGCCACGTCGGTGGAGATCGAGCTGCCGATGCCCATGGGCGCCGTCGACCTCGCTGCCCGCACCTCCATGGGCACCGCCACGTACATGCCTGAGCGTGAGGCGATTCTTTGGAAGATCATTTTTTTTCGGGGAGGCAAGGTAAGTGCTGCTCGCTGCTCTCCCGAACTCTCCTCCATGCACGATGCTCCTTCCAGGAGGCAAGGTACGATGTCTACATGCACACATGCTCCAGCGCGCATGTACACGCCTGTAAGGGAGGCGATTCCCTGGACGATCAAGTCGTTTCCGGGAGAAAAGGTGAGTTCTGCTGCTGCTGCTGATTTCCCTCTCTCTTCCTTAGGAGGTGCACGTGCACACGGGCTCATGTGCGTACATACCTGTGTGGGAGGCGATTATGTGAAATTAAGTTGTTTTTGGGAGGAAGGTGAGTGCTGCTCGCTGCTCTTCCTCTCATCTGTGTCGTGCTCCCGCCTCTCTCCCTCCTTGGGCAGTGTTCGTTTTTTGGGAAATCTAAAAAACCTAACTAAGCGCTGCTCGCTGCTCTTCCTCTCATCCTGCGTCGTGTTCCCACCTCTCTCCCTCCTTGGGCACGCACTGCAGCACCAAAACCCTATCGACATTCTCAGACCAACAAGCACCCAAACACATTGCCCCACATTTCCCCACGCTTGTGCTGGCAGTAGGGAATCGGCTGAAAACCCTCCAATTCTTCCCTTCGACCCTCCTTCCTTCCCTCCCGCCTCCCTTTCCCCACCCTAAAACCTTATCCTCAGGAGTACCTGCTGCGAGCCCGCTTCAGCCTGCCCAGCGTGGCAGCAGAGGATGATGCAGCAGAAAAGAAGGCCCCGATTCGTGTGAAATTCGAGATACCCTACTTCACAGTCTCCGGCATTCAGGTGAGAAGGCAGGGTGCCAGGTGTAGGGTGGTTGGTTGCCTGCTGCTGGACACACCCTACTTCACAGTCTCTGGCATTCACGTTATGCCGGCAGGGTGTCAGGTGTGGGGTGGTTGGTTGCCTGCTGTTGGACACACCCTACTTCACAGTCTCCGGCATTCAGGTGAGAAGGCAGGGTGTCAGGTGTGGGGTCTGCTGTTGGGTGGTTTGTTTGCCTACGCTGCCTCACAGTCCCTGGCATTCAGGTAAGAAGATACACCTGTACCCTGTCAGGTGTTCAGGTGAGACGGCAGGTGGTGTCAGCTGCTGGTTGGTTGGTTGCCTGCTGTTGGTTCACCCCTGCCTCGCTCTCAGGCATTCAGAGGGAACAGAGCCAGGTGCTCAGGAGAAAGCGAAGAGAAAATATATATGCCAGTAGGAGACATAGCCAGGGGAAAGGCATTCAGCGGTTCCGTAGTCAGGACACTATGAAGGGTTTGGTAGTCAGACGTTGGAAGGAGGAGTTAATTAGTCAGGAGTCATAGCAACAAACTAACTGGTCAATCAAAGACTTATCATGCAGGGTCTTTTTTGGCTTCCCAACCCTCGGTTTTCTAACATGCTCTGGGTATGCCCTCCCCCATCCCTGTCTCGTCTGTGCAATCTTTGTTTTCATCCAGGTGCGTTATCTCAAGATCATTGAGAAGAGCGGTTACCAAGCATTGCCGTGGGTGCGTTACATCACTATGGCTGGCGAATATGAGCTGCGTATGATATGAATGTGAACATGGCTACCTAAATCATCTGACAAGACAAAGATCCTCATCCCATGCATCATTGGCGTAATCACTTTATTTAGCACTGCTCACTGCATTGTCCTCGTCACTAGAGTTTTCTACAATTGTTCATACTACGATTCTTTAGATGGTATTGGTGTGGCAATTGTTCATACAATGATTCCTTAGATGGTCCTGGTGGGGCAATTGTCCACACATACATTGATCCTCATCTAGAGCAACAGGTGTGCAAACTGGTACATCGGAGGCGAACCATGCCTGCCTGATGCAATATTGCGCCCTATCTCGAAATGGCCCTGGATGGAACTCCCAGAAGGACTATCCATCATGCTTCCACTCAAATGACTTTTCCCCCAGTACCCAACATCTCTCTCTTTCTCACTGCCACGTCTTATGATTTGTCACAAAAACCACTGGCTTCAGGAAGCATTTTGTTATTTTGAATAGACTTGCTTGCCAAAAAGCCCACATTTATTCACCACTGAAGCTTGCATATCACGTGCGACATCCTATCCCAGCATAACTCCCATAGACTCCTATGCCCCTCAGCCGACTCCCTCCCATTCAAGGATCACTCCCCCTGCCAATCTCGCTGATTCCTTCCTACAAACCCTTCAAGCTCTACCCAACCCTTCTGGTTCACACCACAACCTATCCCTACCCCTGAATCCGATAGATCCTAAAAGAGTCAGCACCTAGCGACAAATTCTGGCTTGTGGGCCACATAAACCTTCCTCTATGCTCGGAGACACGTGATCAGAAATCGATGAGTAGCGAGTTAGTTGCAGTCATCCTTGCAGTCTTCGTACTTCTCATCGCAACTGCTCCTGTTCTTGGCGTAGCACTGCTTCTTGTAGTACTTGCACCAGTCCTTGCACCCCCAGTCGCCGTACTTGCACGCCTTGAAACTCCTGTATGCCTTCATCTCGCACGTCTTGGACTTCTTCTCGCACTCCTCCCTTTCGTCGTCGTCCTCTGCGTGATCGTCACATTTCTTCTCGCTCTTGTCGCACTTCGCGTACTGCGTCTTGTACTTCTCGATGCACGACGGCTCGTCCTTATGATCGTCCTTGTGATCGTCGTCGTGATCGTGGTGGTGATCGTCCGTCAGGAAACGCCTGCTTACAAGAGCTTGTGCTCCACCATCTGCGAGCACATGATACAGATACAAAGCGTTCGTTCACATACGCCGGATTAGCCGTATACGTGGTCGCTAGTTGTATGTGTGGTCGCAAGCCATACGCGTGGTCGTGTGCTTGCGGAAGTTCGGAAAGTTGGGTGGAATATTCGAAGAAAAAAAAAGAGCAGCGGGAATGCTTGATGTTCAAATCATCAGGGTTTTGAAGCTTACCGGGAGCTACGTCGGCCTCGGCGCTAGCTGCGAGCAGCAGCGCGGACAGCAGAATCAAGCCAGAAAGGAGCGGGAGAGTCCTCATGATGGCAACGTCTTGGGGAAAACCTACTTGTTCCTGTGCGGTAGCACAAGGCTGAATTGCGGCAGAAGATAAATACGTAATAACGGGTAAGAGCACGCGATTTGCTGCTATAATGATGGGATAGGGGGGGTGGGGGCGCTAATTTATACTTGCGAAGAAGGCTGGCTGAATCTTGCCTCCCCACATCTCGGTGCCGCAAAGGGTAGGCGCTGCTGCTTCTGGATGCAGGAGGGAGATGCAGCCTGCTATGCTGGGAAGCCAGCATGGAGGAAAAGGGAGATTTGGGAAGGGTAGATTCGAGGTGGGGCGAATTGCGTCGCTGGCAAGATGGGCCAATTTCGCTTTGGGGGAAGCTTGGCTGGACCAGCTAAAAGAAATTGAGCGGCTCGGCTGTTGTGGTCGGTTCGGCATTGGAAGCGCACATTTGGCCCGACAGCCGCTCAACTTGCGTTGCTGGGTGGAGAAGTGGGCAGAAACTGTTAG